GTTATTAAATTTCTAAATAATTTGATTGCACTTAAAGGTCGGTTCAAAGTAGTGATTGATTAAAAAATGCAAATTTTAATACAATTATAACAAATGAGATTAGATTTGATGCTTAATTATACAATGAATTACACATTAAATAGTGTTTGAATACTTGCCGTTTGATATTCACCAGACATTTCACGTTTTCCTGATTAATATTGCTCTCAATTCACTGAATACTGCATATGATATCAAATCAAACTTGTATTTAATGTCACAAAAGTAAGACAAGAATTTTGTTTTTGAATTTTGTTGAAAAAATGAATTTATTATATAATCACAAACAGATTATTAATATAAAAAGTTTTTTATTGAATATATAAATAAGTCTCACTTTCTTTCATCGATAAGTTTGTCGGCATATCTTTGATTGAAAACTTTGAGTGACTTCTGGAGTGACTTTTGATCCAAAACTTATCACCAATTCTTCTGGTGATGAACACAACTGTTTAGTACACTATTTGGGGATCTTTTGACGTATTTATTATACATTCACTTTTGAAAACCAAAAAACAGACACAACTTTTTGAAACATAAACTGTTTATTTGTGGACAAAAATTGTGTTTAATTTTTTCAACCAATTTTTGGTCCGATTTTGTCTGACTTTGTTTGTGACAGATGTTTGTCTGTTAATCATATGACGGCATAAAACAACGTTTAAAACTAAACACAAGTTATGAACTAAATATATCTTATAGTATAGTACTGTATATCTCAATCTCTGTGTTTAGTGGACACACACGAAGACCTAGATACACTACCAGTCCCTTCAATACATTATTGCCATGCGATACCACACGACTGGACAGTTGTGTCTGTTTTTTGTGTTGATCCCAGAATCTAATATACAGTTAAAAACGGTGCTAAAAGTCTGGCTCTAATCCATTATAATAAAAATTTACGATTTTGTCAACCAATTTAAGGTTTACTACTAAACACCCCCTCAACCATCAGCCAAAACCAACAGTTGGACCCAAAAAACATGTCAATACCTATTTAGGCAGTCGTTTATTATAGACATTATCGTACAGTCGACTCACGTATTAGGATTAGTTGTATAAAAATTATAATTAATATATTACATAAAATATATTTTATTGCAACATGTTTATTATTGCATTGGTTAGTGGACTGTAAATACGAAAGTGAATATGATTTATAAAGCAATTTTGAGTACATTATACACACGATTAGAGTAAATACTAGTATAGTATGTATTGACTGATAGTATGGATAGTTTGTTGTGAACCATAAAAATGATATGAAAAAACGCCAATTCTGTAGATTCTGTACATTTTGTGCTCGGATTGGCTTAATGTCTAACACTTGTATTGATGACAACCAACGGAATCTATGGTTCCGTATATTTAATAGTATTTCTGTCGCCGACGACTCCAATAAAGTCATTCATGTCTTCATTAGTTCTTTGAATTTGTTGTCTTAAAGACTAAATCAATAATATTTAGTTAATTATCTCTACACCGAATTAAATGGTTGTTTTCATAACATTAATTAGGGTTTATTTTTATAAATGCAATTTATAATTTTCATTTTCATATATACTGGTAAATGTATTCTTATTGATACAGGATATCAGTTATTAATTATATTATATATATGGTGTACGGTTATATAGATATATTGCATATTTACTAACTTAATTCATTTTAAGCACATTAGTTCAATTATTGTTTTAGATTTTTATGGTGAACCTATTAAATAATATTAATTTATAAACATTTCTATATACAAATTACGAACTGTAGCAAAAATATATCAATAAAGTTGGTAAACTAATATCAAATAACTAGTCATTAATAATGGAAACAGAAATCGGAAAGATACATTATTTTTTAATTTTAATTTTAATTTGTTTCCTAAGGTTAAAATACATCATCATTTAGGGAATATAATAATAAAAGCAATAGTAAATCAATTTTATCCATTATAATAAGCAACAAATGTTTTTATTATTTAAATACAATATACAGAACATAGTTTTTATAAAACTTTTATGATTAATATTAATATTGTAGTATTATATTAATTTAATTAATACTTAAATACAGCATAATTGCAATCATTTACAAAAGCTTATATAAGTTTGTATATGAATTATAGAAAATATATCTCTATTTAACAAATCTAATTTAAAAACATATGTCTTAACAATTTATATAATGTATTTATATTACAAAGCGTTTGATTGAAAGTGTTGTTAAGAAATATTGATACAAGCAACAAAAAATCGATGGCATGAAAAATGACATTTTATTTATGGTTTGAAATATTAATACAATAAAAAAGTGAAAAACATTTTACTCTATGAAATAAATGGCATTATATTTAGCGTCCGTAAAAAACAATAGCAATAATAAACTTCTTTAAGAAAAATAAAAGTAAATCCAAAGTATAAATAAAAAGCTTAAAAACAATCTGAGATATTGTACTCTCTGTCCGTTAATATGGTTATAAAAAGTTATACATAAAGTGGACATAAATTGAAAGTCCACTAAAAAATTGCTGGGATTTTAGGGGTGATTTGAACGTCGAAAAGAGTGTAACGAAAATATAAATTCAAATAAATTTTTATGATTATAACAAATCGATTATGAGTTGGTATTTGAGTCCAGACTCAGATGCAGGGCTCCGATGGCGTTGGTAAGTGTGCGCACATGGCGTCTGTCCCTAACCCCGCACTTGTTCACGATATCCATTTCCCTCAGCTTCGACACCCGATACAGGCTGTCGACTCCATGTGCCCTTAAACTCGACTCATACTGCGGTAGACCGAGGGATATGAGCCACAGGTGAAGGCTCTCGTAGTTGGCGGTGTCGATGACGGGGCCGACACACGAGTCGCCCAAATAGTCGTTGGGAACACCGCGTCGACCCTTCGCTAACAGTCCGGCCATACGTACGGAGTCGAGAGCGTCGGCCACTTCGTAGGTGTCTCTCTGGCACTCGTCGGCGTACCTCTGGATCAGCGCCGGCGGTATACCACAGAAACCAGCCTTTCGTACAAAACATATGAAATATAATTAGAAATGCATTGAAATTGTTGTGTAATTTTAGTGATAATTAAAACGTGGTTTTAATGAACAAAATTTGAATAAACTTTTGAACTAAAAAATTGCACTTAATTTACATAAAAGGCATTAATTTGTGTTTTAATTATGCGTCAAATCTATGCATAAAAATGAGTGAAAAACAGTGAGATTTAAATAACAAATAAAAAGCAAATCCTGATTATCATTGAAATGAAGTGCTAATGGGTTTCGCATTACTCGATCAGAATAGGGCTCATCCGAGAGGTCGATGGCCTCCGACTTCAGCTTATAGTCGATGGCATCCCTCAGCGTATTTGAGCACAATTTGGTGGTCGACGCGTTAGGACTACCGGCGCCCCCATTGTTGTTCACTAACGACATGAGCGAACTGTGCGAATGAAAGGACGAAAACTTTCGGGAACTGGAGATGAGTTTCTTGAGTCGCTTCTTACTCCTCAACGTATCGATCGGTATGTCATTAGCGCCGGTATGTGTCGAGTCATTAGTCGTTGAATTGTTTGCTGCGTTTGTGCTTAAATCCATTACGCTTTGTGAGATTGACATACCGGTGCCGATTGGTCTGTCGCCAGCCCCGGCACCCCTCCGATCAATAGTTTGCATATAAATAGGCTTCAGATCTAATTTGCTCAACAGATTCCTGTCCAGTGATTTGTCTCGGATGGCGAACCGGACACTATTGTGT